TATTAGCCAATCAGATCTTGAAACGTCACAAAATGATCTACAAAAATTAGCCAATCAAAATGAAAGCCCGCTATGCTACAACTGACCAGGTCAGTATAGTATGAATGTGATTTTACCAAATCGTATCATACTGTTTTGCTTAATTGTCACATCCACTAGAAAACCCAGCCGGCGTTAAACATAATTCTGGGCAGATCTAACTCTAAATTCTAGAGGGTGTGACAATTAAGCAAAACAGTATGATACGATTTGGTAAAATCACATCCATACTATACTGACTTGGTCAGTCGTACCATATGGCTGAATATGCATAATCATGCAGGTCCATGCAATCGTGAACGTAGTGCTCCAAAAAATTTTTATAGAGGGTCAGGTCGTTTGACATACGTTTACAGCAAAAAAATTTATATGCTGCGCCAAAATGTTACATTGAATTTCATATTTTTTACCGTTACTATTTGTTTATCTTTCTTTTTGCTTATATATCTCTATACTAATTATATTTCTTTTGCCTAAGATATGTCATGTTCTGAAGAAACACTATCACTAAGCTATATACGGACTGCTTGAAATATGGCTATAAATGAATATAAACTTCCTTATAGAAGCTTAAGGTGAGTGGATTACGATAACATTGTGCAAAGGATTCTTAGAAAATTTCCTTTGATATTCCAAGCTTTTAATATACTTGTTTTTTAATTCTTCAAATTGATTACAACCTTTTTCAGTATTACTTGGCAAAGAGAAAAGACAAAACTTTCGGATGAATATATCTGGTTTGAACTTTTTCCTTATAAAAAAATTTTGTCCAAATTTTGTTGCTGATTTCTAAAGGTATTCTGCTTTTATTCAAAAAAATGTTCTGAATTGAGTCGATTTTCCAACCTACCATATACTGTACTGATTTTATACAATGTTTATACCTAATGTCAACTCAAAAATTTCTTTTTTTACGTCACAGTATAAAAATTATACAATATCGTACTGGAATTCGCAAAATCGACTCCATTTCAACCATTTTTTCTAACAATGCCTACAATAACTGAACTAGCTTTTTTTATAAGGTTTACTAATGCCTTCTGTATAAGATCCCTTTTCTTTTCGATTCACAACCGGTATTCTTTGTATATGATAATTTTTTTTATCAGATAGTGATTTGTTATTAGTCGCATGTTTTTGGTTTTGCATTATCTTAACGATAATTTGAGCTTTTTTTTTCTTTTCAGTAAGTAACTACAAATAAGTGAAATGTTTGCATCAATTAATATTATAACTTAAACTAGTTTATATTCGAACTAGAAAACTAAAAATTAAAATCTAAGGTTCTATATCAGACATTTCTATATCAGACATATAGGTTTGTATACTACATTTTTTAATTTTGATTGCTTTTGGTTTCTGTTCAGAAATATCTAACATGTCTTTTATCTCCTTATTTATTAAAAATTTATTATCTGTGAATTTAATATTAACTGATTTGGGTGTGTGATCGCATACCACTTTCTCTATGTTCTGTTTGTATTGAGTGATGGGTTGTTTGACATTTTGTTTGTATTTAATAATAGATTGTTCGATATTTTGTTTGAATTTAATGATGGGTTGTTCGACGTTCTGTTTGAATCTAATGATGGGTTGTTCGATATTCTGTTTGTATTGAGTAATGGGTTGTTCGATAGATGGTTCAATGGGTTGTATTACTGATTTTAGAAGATACACCACCTTTTCTACTTCCTAAGGACGTCTGTTATAAGCTAGTTCAAGAAGTCATTTATTTTTCTGTTTGTATTGAGTAATGGGTTGTTTGATAAATGGTTCAATGGGTTGTGTGATCAATTTTAGAAGATACACCACCTTTTCTACTTTCTGAGGATGTCTGTTGTAAGCTAGTTCAAGAAGTCGTTTATTTTTCTTGAGTGAAGGTCTAAGTCTGGGCGGCATTTTATTGACTAAAGGGCAATGATGAAATAATTAAAAAAATATGCTTGGGCTGGTGTTTAGAGATGTGATTAATTTTTAATAATTTTATTATAAAGAATCTGGATATTCATGTTGCTTATATAGGAATACTGGTATTAATAAAATTGTATTATAATATATATATTAATAAACAATTACTTAGATGACAAATAAGAATATTATTTTGCTACTAATGGGAATAATGATTAGAATTTAAAACTTGATTCGATCTTCAAATTAAATTTAATTTTCTTTAGATCCAATTTAAATTCGGATATAAAACCGAATCCCTGGACATTGATAGAAAAAATAGTTAGCAAAAATAGCTAGTGAGATTAGCGAATTTAACAAAATAGCTTATTATAAATTTTATATTTATTAAGTATAAATTTTAATGTAATCATATTGTTACAAGTGGACTGTAGCTTTCTTAATACAGCACAAGTAACAAAGCATACAGCTATAGAGCTCTGTTGCGAGATTATAGCGGTGTGGAAGTGGAAT